ACGGGAGAACCGGACGCCTGGGTCCCCGGCGGTGAGGGTGCCGAGGCGGCCAAGACGACCCGGGAGGACCGGTGGCACTCAGGGTTAGGGACCTGGCGGCGTTGCTGGAAGGGTGGGGGAGGGAGTGAGTACTTCATAAATATTTAATAATATTATTATTATTAATAAATCGTCATAATCATGGGCCCCGTCTGCGTTCCCTGGGCATGCTCACCTGGCAAGGCCACGGGAGCCTCTAGGTGCTGAGTAACCTCCGCTGCAGCGCTGGGATGCCTCACTCAGCTGGGGCTGGGAGCTGCGAGCCTGCACGGAGCAGCCTCAGCTGCGGGGCCGGGGAAACCAGACGCCGTCAGGAAGCCTTCCCGGGCAGGTGAAAGAAGTTCTTGCAGAGATTTTAGCCTCTTCTGCTCTTTCGGAGTCCTTGTTTCCAAAGTAGAGGGCTGGTCCTCCATTGTTCCTGGACATTTGCCCCTCCACTGGTCTTGGTAGGCTAAGGTAGCCAATGTTGACAAGCAGGGCCTTCTGAGGGATAATTCCATGTAGGATTCCATTTTGGTTGAAGTCCTGGTGCTCAGGGTGATAATTCTGTGACCAGGTACTTCTTTGCATATCAGCGGTAGAACTTCATTCATTGGTTCACTGGTCCAACAAAAATACCTACTATGTGCCACACTCGGAACAATATAGATAGGACTTCCTCTGTTGTGGAGTTTTCATGCCAGTTTTGGAGGGACAGGCAGATCATAAACATGAAAACAAACAAGGTAATGTGATGAGATGTGTGTGAGAGATGGGCTATTTCTTCTCTTGGAGGTACTACCTGTCAATTAAGAAAAAGTCAGAAAAATTTCGCTTCTCTAAGGGCAAGGAGCACAGGATTAGATCATACTCCCCTCCCCAAGATTTACGCACTATAAAGTGATGTTTCTTGCTCTCGCTCTCTTTCCCCGTCCCTGGGTGAGGATTAACAAAATAATAATAATAGCAATAACAATTACATAGTGTTTGCTGTGTGTCAGGCCCTGTTCTAAGTGCCTTACATAAATGTTATCCATTTAATCCTCACAATAATCCATGAGATGGGTGGTATAATTTAGCCCCATTTGACAGAGAAGGAAACTGAGGCTTAGAGGGGGTTATCTGAGGCAGAAGCAGTACTTAACCTGAGTCTTCTACCTTTAAACCCAAGCCCTTTCTGTGTCAAAATGAGTGTCAATGAGGCCACAAAGGGAGTGATACCAGGGAGAAACTGGCTAAGGGAGGGAAAGCTTGGGAATGAGGAACAGGACGGGCACATTAGGAGGGGTTAAGTGTGATCACGGTTCTCCAGAAACACTACTTTGAAATCACTTTAGATAGCCCTAGTACTGGGAATGAGGGCAAAATATGAAATAGGACGATAGGACATGTTTTGAGGAGAGAAGTAGGAAATAGGAGGCTAAGTGATAGGATTTGACCTGACCGGGAATCAAACTATGACCTCCTGGTTCATAGGTCGACACTCAACCACTGAGCCACGCTGGCCGGGCTGATTTTATTTCTTAATTTATATTTTAATGTATCTCCTAAATTTATGATGTCTTAATTATTTTATATTCATTAGCTCCCTGGTAAGTACCAGGTATTATACTAGGCACTGGGATATGGTGATAAGTGGTCATGCCTTCTTGGAGCTTACAATCTAGTGGGGCAACAGACTTACTTTTTATATTTTTCACATTTCATTTGCCCCCCTCCCTTCACTTTGCCTGGGGTGAATCAAGTTTGGGCCCAAGGGGAAGGGGGCAGAAGGATAAACTAAACCTAAATTTATTCTTATAAAACTAGTCTTTACTGTTTGTGTAGGTCTAAGATTACAAATGGTATGCTCGATGAGGAGAAATAAAGTTGTTCACTACTTCCCTATCTTTTCCCCATTCTCTTCTTTCTGGCCCGTGTGGGCCTAGCCAGTCTATCAACAGCTTGGCAAGCCATTATCTCTGCCTGTGGATCCAGGGTCTGAGGGGGAGGGTCTGGAGCAGAACTGAGAGCTTGCTGTGTGTGTGTATATAGAGGCCCGGTCACAAAAATTTGTGCACTCGAGAGGGAGTGGCGGGGTCCCTAAGCCCGGCTTATGCCCTCTCGCAGACTGGGACCCCTCGGGAGATAACGACCTGCTGGCTTAGGCCTGCTCCCAGGTGGCAGAGGGCAGGC